AAATTAAAATTCCCAGCATCCCTCATTCGTGTGCAGGCGTAGTCATACCAACATAACAAGCTTAGTCCGTTTATGTCCTAAAGGATGATACTCGTCACGAAAAAAAAAATTCCACTTTGTCATACATTTTTCCACAATGTTATTCTTGATATATATGAGATAACGATATATATTTTTTATATATATATATATATATATATATATATATATATATATATATATATATATATATATATATATATATATATATATATATATATATAGATAGATAATATTAGTGGTTAATATACATATACAATCATATATCTAAACTGATAATAAGTGGATTTAATATATACATATGCAATCATTATATCTAAACTATATAAATATATACATATATATACATACATACATACATATATAAGCAAGTGTAAATGGATATGTATGTTTTGAAAAAAAACAAAAATCTACATTTAACTACATTTAAGATTTTGGATTTTATTCTTATATATATATATAATATATATATATATATATATATATATATATATATATATAATGCATGAGATCACGATAACTGATCGTAGTTCTGGCTGGCTTGGATCAAAGTGGATTTGTGTTGAGAGATCCATTTGAAAACTCAGGTCATCTCAACAAGACTTCTCTTCCAACGTGCTTTAGTCAGTTCTGAGTACTGCTCGCTGGTTCTGTGGGCATGACCGATCAATTTTGTCATATCATACATTAATTAGTGTATAACCCACATTAATCTAACTGATTCCGTAAACCCTCACCCCCTAATCAGCCTCCCTCTACTCTTTACGGATCTTATCATCACTTGTTCAATAATGAGATCACTTGACACGCCGGCCATGTAACGGTCACTCTGACGCACAGAATGACACCCATAATCTGAGAACTGTTGATGCAGCTAAGCATGCTTTTCGGGTAATTCGTAACCATTTTAGGTACAATCGGCAAACTACATTTTTTTTCCGTTAACCTCTTCAAAAAATAGATGTTTCTCATAACGTTCTTGTTAAGTTTTTTGTTTCAGACTTTTTACAGAATATACATCCCTGGTCCTTGTTTCTATTAATTTCTACCATTTGCTCATACAACCTCAGTGAGTATGTGCGACTCGCATTCATCTTTAAGGCAGGCACATACTTTGTTAAATATTGTCAACATGACGGGCTCCTTTGAACAACCACTACTTCTGCGTTTTCCACAGGGAGAAGCTATGTCCTTATGGGAGCGAAAGCGGGCATGACGCAATTTATAGCAAATTGCTTCTGCAGCAACAAGCTCTATACAACTCTCCAGACGAAACTGGACTTGATATGGCTACACATTTTCATCACGAAATGTCAAAGTTTATTTACATTTAAATGAACAAATTATTTACCTCGTTATTTTTAAGGAAAACTTTCAACGCTCTAATTTTTTTGTACTTAGCTTTCACCTTTACGTTTACGATGCTTTATGGAAAATATATTATAAAGAAATTAAAATAAGACTGTTAAGAGTGAGATTAAATTTCATATTTCATAAGAAAGGTATCCAATTAATTTATAGGTACCTTTCTTATGTAATTTTATCAGAAGTGTACATAAAATACTATAATTTTATGTACATTTATTACATTTTACTGTGTTATTTGTATTTCCATTCATTTTATTATTAATTTTGATATTTCATTTATGGAAAAATGACATAACTGAGATTAATATAAAAATAAGATCATATAAATTTCATAAGATGATACTGATACTTGTAGGTACCCTTCTCAGTTGAAATTGAAAAATCAAAGTAACTTCTCCACACGTGTTTCGCAAAAGTAAAGGCCTTAACAGCGGAGAACAATGCTTAACTCAAATAACGCAACTTAATTGTATTCTGGTTGGTCTTCCGTACTTTATAATTACAGCCCGATTATAAACACAAAATTACATTTCTTAATTATTGCGGATCTTCTGATTAGTCAAAATGATACAATTTACAACAAAAAAGATCTATCTCATAATGACACTTAGAAAACCCGATTATCTATTATAATTAAAGAAATAAGAAATAATTGTATTAAAAATTCATTTTTCATTGAATTTGTTTTTTTTTTTTTTTTTGCTTTCAGAAAATATTGTCCATATTCATAAAAAACAACTAAATTGAAATTAAATAATATATAAGTTTTATTGAGTTTTTTATGTTACAATTCAAAGTTGATTTTCAGGTAGGGGGGGGTCTAATTAAAAACAAAAATAAACATGATTTGCATTCCCCAAAGCCTTGTGCTTTTAACTATTGTAATCACTAAACCTGACGGGATCGATGATTCTAGCGTTTTCATAAAATTAGTTATGGTGGGGCGGTAAGAAATTTAAAAAATGTTACTGCCATGACTTTAATAAAAAAAAAACATATAATAATTTCGATCATCTGTGAATAGTTTCTGAAAGTTTCTTTAACATCCGACAATTATTTTTATTTTAGCAAGATTTTCCAAATTAATGTGTGTCATACAAAAAAAAATCGTGCTAAAAATTGTATATGTTATTTTTCTAGTTCCGGTGATACAAAGAGAAACAAGGTTTTTTTTACTCAAAATTTAGAATGTTCTAAAAGAAAGAAGAATTTTAAAAAATAATTAAAATAGACTTTGATCTTTCCTCTTAATAATAACATAAGCATTTAGACGATAAAATTGTTTTCGTCAAGTTTGGCGTCTTTTCCATCAAGCTATGCTCTTTTTTAGCGATCTCATGGAGGTACCTAACTGCTTACTGAACTTGATAAGGGTTGTTATTGCATGTATAACTTTCATTTGGTCAGCTTCTTTTTCGAAACAATTGCTGAAAATTACACAAAAGTTCTCCTCGAATTTGGCTGTCTGGTCTTCTTCTGTGACAAGAACAGTTTTAAACGCAGCAAGAAAATTGAGAAAAACACATCTAAAGTTTAGTTCGAATATCTGGGAAAAACGATGGATTTAACAAATTCGTCTATATTAATATTTAAGAAACCGAAGTGATTGAAGATTTAATTCATGAATAGTTTTCGTAAAGGTCCTTTTTTTCTTTACAGGAAGGAGGACGTTTATCAAGAACTCATTGAAACAAGACTGAATCTAATTTCATATCCTAAAAAAGATTGTGCAAACATATTTATATATAACTTGTGAATAACTTACAGATAACAGAAGAAAAAACTTCTTTCAATTTCTATTAAGTATATATATATGCTACTAAAAGTTTCGTAGAGTCCAAGGATGTAGCGTCCTCTTACATCCTAGCAAGAAAACAGTGATTAGGAATACAAGAGGAATATGGATATTTATGAAAAATATAAAGCTAACTCAAAGACCACTTTCGATATTTGAGCAAAAAATATCAACATTTTAACTCTCCGCCAAATCTAAGTTCTTGTACCAAACACAAAACCTAGGAATAGAAAATGGAAAAGCGAATCTGTTCTTTTTCTTTGGGGTCAAAATAAGCGCAAATCACAAAACAAAACTCAACTACTGGGTAAAACATTTAATATACAAGTAAAGACAAAAATGGTACTATACAAAGTTTTCACAAAAATTCCTTCTGTGCGTCTGTTACGACAGAACAAATTTCTGAAATTACAAAAAAGGGATTACCATTAAAAAGGGCAAGAAAGCTGATGCAATCTAGATATGGACATGGAGCCAATGCCAAAAAAAAAATTACACCCTTTAAAAATGAAAAAAAGGGGAAATATTACAGAAAATACAAAGCATATCCAGCTAATTTCTCCAAACGATTACTGAATGGAAACGTCTCAGCACGAAGAAGTTCCGTGTTTTCCACAAGTTATTGTCTCGAGGGCTTTATGGAATACATTACTGGAAAGTTAAACTTGAATGTTCGCTTCATTTAAATTCTTAATTTGACTCGAAAAGTTATACCTTCGAGTCAATATTTAAATCTGGCCTGAATCCCTGTCTTCCTCGACGTTATATTAATAGATTTCCTCGACGATAATATTTCTGATACTATCTGCTAATAGCAATTCTTTTTATTGAACAACAGAGAGTCACACCAGCTCCATCCATGTTTTCACAAGGGCTTGAGAGGACGTCTCTCATTGGCCAGAATATATGAAAACATTTTTTATATATAAATTCAAAAAATTCTGTTCTTTCACCGCTAATTTTATAATAGATCTTTACAAGTGCAACAATTTAACTTTACAACACGTATGGCTTTAAAAATCAATCTTTCTCAAGGGTGCATGTAAAAAAAAACCTAGTCGATTAAAATACCACAAGGACTAATAATACAAAGATTAATAAGTAATAAAACATTTTTATATACATTTAGATGTCTTGAATTGAATTGAAAAAACATTCCTCTTAGAACCCGAGCAACACAAAACCCAAATATAGGTAGCATAAGTAATACAATATTAAAAATCTTCATTATCAGTCAAGAAGAAAAGTTAAAATGGAGACAAGATTAAACAAGATTCCCTGTATTCCTTAAAATTCACATTTGGTTGATCACTCTTGGTTGCGTTTTCACTGATCCAGAACAGTCAAAATAAAGTCCATGATCAAATTCTCTTGAATGCTATCTATTAACTGATATTTATGTAATCTATGAGAATATGAAGCAGTTACAGATTATATTACACAATTTGGAAACATAACCTCAACTACTACTTAATAAAAATTAAACTCATAACTTAATAATAACTCGTAAGACACATTCGAAATGACCTGTTCATGAAAACCACATACAAGTGTAAACTACTCAATTGGCTAAGAACCATGTTTCACCTTATAGTAAGTGTTTTTTTTTTTGTTTTGTTTTTTTTTTGCAAAGAAATTGGTACTCTGAAAATGGATGTAAAAATGATGCCCAATGTTGATAAGAGAAGAATTTTTTTTATTTTCCTGGAGGATATAAAATGCCGCTTCCAATTTTATGAAACATGTCTGGATAAGATTTGCATCTGGGTATATATTTGTTTCTGGGTACATACTAAATTCACTCAACATCTAACAGACTACATACTGAGAGAGATAATGAACAGACGGAAGATATATCGATAGATATGAACAGAACGAGATAGGTAATGAACTGACGGAATAGATAGATAGATAGATAGATAGATAGATAGATAATAGATAGAAAGATAATGCACAGACTAAAGATAGATATGAACAGACTGAAACAGATAGATAGATAGATAGATAGATAGATAGATAGATATGGACAGACTGGCAGAGACAGATTGATAGATATGGACAGACTGAGATAGATAATGAACTGATGGAATATATATATATATATATATATATATATATATATATATATATATATATATTATATTCTAAACTCTTTATTTCTATGGAAGGTTTAGCACATATATATATATATATTTTCATGACGTGAAGTATATTCTTTCAATTTCAATCCCACTTCAAGTTTATGTGCAGGTGTCAGTATTTTTCCAGAAAAAAAGTTTCACAATAACGTTTTATGATAGACAAAGCTTAATACTCAATAAATTTGCCTTTTTTTGTATCTGAGAAAGGGAAGAAATGCAGAAATAATATTGATTTCAGGTGGAAACTTACAGTCATCACACAAAGCATTTCCCATGAGTCTATCTAAGAAAGTACAAACCAATCATCAGCTTGTCTGTCTTGTTAAGAAATCCGAAGTTTACAACTTGAAAATGATATACTCACAGGGATTTAAAATAATTCTTTCTAAATATTTTTCTTTCTTCTGTTGTCATTCAATTTCGATTTCTAATCTGATCTCTCTCGTACTTGCTCAGTATGCATGCTTGTTACTCGTATCTGTCTTCAGGTTTTTTTTTCAATACTTTTCCGAAACATTCGAAATAATTCCCTAAATATATAACAGTATTCATTATAATTTAGAAATATTGGCGAAGTCTTGTAGTTTATTTTTAATTTATTTCCCGAAAAATGCTCAAAAACTAAAATATTTGTAAGTTAATGTTATAGTCCAAGTTCCTTGTACCACGGTGATGGTCCAAGGTTAGAACCAATGAAAGAATAACACGAACACAGGTATGGAATACAAAGATATATTACAACAGAAATATAATATCTGCGACCAGATATTGTTCTTCTGTCAAGAGTGAACCATAAAATCATCCTGGTTGAGTTAACAGTACCATATGAATGCCGGATGGAACAAAGCCACGATTATAAAACTAATAAATATGAAGATCTAAAGTCAGAGCTAATAAAGGAGGGGTTTAATGCAATTGTTAGAGCAGTGGAAATTGGAGCAAGGGGTTTCGTTTCAGGCACTCTGTACAAATTTCTGGGCCAAATTGGAATCAAAGGGCGTAATAGGGCCAAGAGTATAAAACGCCTAATAGAAGTAACAGAAAATAGTTCTATGTGGATATGGAAAAAACGAAATACTCCGTGGGTGTTTCCAGCGAACATGACGGCATGACATGTCTGATCGTGAATGCGTAATGGAGGTTCACGTTGCATTCTCAGAACGCGAGGTTTGCCGTTTTTCGGAATTTTCGTAAATTTAATTTTGCCGTTACACATTTGAACTAGTTTATCTACAACACTTGTATATCGTTATAATGGGGCCTCACATCAGTGAGGGGGGCCGGTGTGCAACTGAAACCGTTGAGAGGAAGGCCCCGAAACGGTGCACATTCTCTCCTGATGACCCCAGTTTAAAATTCGAGAGGAACACATCAAAATTCAGTGAAATCATATGCCGTAGAATCATATGCGGTGGAAGTGTCATTGGCATGAGGAGCATTATAGATTCAGCTCGCTTCAGGTGAGTTTCAATTACTTTCCAGTAATTTCCTTCTTTTTAATACAAAGAAGTAGAAGTATTAGTAATGACTATCAGATTTGGTTAGAGTGAACTATGTTGTCTTGACAAGTATCACTATTCCAATGCCCTTACAATATGCTCTCAATTCTCTCTCCTCGTCTTACAATCTCCTCATACCTCTTGAGAGGCGCAGTATTTATCATGTCAGGAATAGTCCATTATTATTATGGATAATTTCCCATAACAGTTAAATTAATAGAAAAGTTAAGATTTGATAAGATAAATAAAAAATAGGAAACGTTTATGAATCTAACATTTTTCATTTTTATTAAAGATTCACCAGAGAATGGGACTTGGAGAAAAAGAAGAAATGCATTTTGGTATTTTTGTTTTTCACTGGTCTATCATGTTTCACGTGAATTCGAGTTATTGGCGTCCCAAATTCAAGGAGAGACGACCGGTTCATCCACACTTTCAGGAAAATAACGGATAACAAGCCTGCCTGAGAAACCGTAAATATTGCTTTATGTTTGATACAAATATGGCTTTGAAAAGGTACATATTAAAACGTATATCTTGACATATCAATGCGTAAAAATATTTTAACATGTTATATATATATATATATATATATATATATATATATATATATATAACTTTATATAGTTCTTCTTGGGGAGGGACTTCTACAGGGTGAGATGGGTAAATTGTCGACATTTTATATTTTTTTTAAAATTCCTGCATGTGCATTGTTTGTTTTGTGCCTTGTTTGACTTCAGTGTATATTAGCGTTAGTTGGGCACCGTCTGTAAGAAAAAAGGACCATGACATTCCGCCAGAAATTGGAAATTGCTTGTTGTACTGCTTGGCAATCGCGCCGGAAGTTCCAATATGAACATTTCAGAGTGTTTGGGTGTCAGTATGAGGACAGTGCAGAAGATTCGGAAAGGGTTGGATGAGTCTAATGAGATTACGAAGGCACAGCAGCTTAGAAAAATCAGATTATTCTGATAAGAAAATAACTGCCGAATTTAGTGATGACGGCTTAAGACTGAACACGGGGGCCTACATCAAGTGCATTGAAGAGGTAGCTTTGGCCTGGGTCAAGAGGTTGGCAGCTGGAAAACTGTTTGTCTCTCAACAGAACTCTGCACCATGACACACAAACAGGAGAAACCAGTTATGGCTGTCATACAATTTCTGCGACCACCTAACTTCCCAGACCGCAACCCCACTGATTATTATGTGTAGTGCTCAGTTGAGCGAGAGACCAACAAAACTCTTTTTAGCATCAAAATGAAGTGAAGGCAAGGATTATGGCAGCATTCACCAACTTAAACAAGGAGACCGTCCAGAAGTGTTGCAGAAGATTCCGAGGTAGTCTGGAGGTTGTGGTTGAATCCAGTCCTGATTTTATTGAATAAAGTGACTCTTGAGCATTACAAGATATATTTGTGTAATTTTGGTAAATATATATATATAATACGATTTTCCTTTTTGTGTAATTTAAGCGATAATTTATCAATCGCACGCTTTATATACCTTTCCAGTTTTCCCCTCTAAATTATCTCTTCATATTGTTTTTTATTTGTATGATTACGGATGTAACCATGTGCTTATCAGCCAATGCATATTTGTGCTCTTATAGTTCTTGTTGAACTTATTAGTTCTTGTTGAAGTCTCATATCATCTATACAGATGGATATGTCATTCACATCTTTGCTATGCTTTTGCTCATTGTTTTGAACTAACCAAATGTAACTAAATCTCTCCACTTAGTCGCATATGAAAACCTTTCTAGTGCAAAAATTGACGTACAAATCCAGTTAAAATAATGGTTAGAAATTACGTCACAGAAGATACGAAGATCGCTCAAAAGCTCGCGTCACTCCAAATATTGCTTTAATTGTATTAAACATATTCGAAGGTATTTTCTGTAATATATCATAAAGAGTTGTGACTTCCAGTGAGAAAATTTGTGAATTCATCTTTTTTCCTCCCCATAATCTAATTTCAAAATGGCTGCTTGTCTAGAAAAAATGAAGGAAGCAAAGTGATCTCATAGAATTTCCCTTTTTGAAAGGAGATAGTGCAATTAAGATTCTCAGAATTCATATGAATGTTCATGGGTAGGTTTCCCTTGATGTAAGTACACTACAAATATGGATTAGTTGAATAAATAGAAATTCTACTGAAGAAGGCTAAGTTGACCTTAGTGACAGGCCCTATAGTGTCAGTCCTCCTCCTTTTGTGAATCATGATAAAACAGATCAATATTCTCATTTTGACTTAGAGATGCATCACTATTTCGAAAGTCTATAAAATACTTCAGCTGGTCCAAGCTAGCGCAGGCTCTTCTTTGCTCAAAGTTCAGCGGAAAGGGTATTACCCGAATACATGAAAAAAAATGGTAGACATTACCTAAAGTTTCAGGAGCTACACAATATGAAATGTTCCTTCCTAAGCATGGCAGGAGATGATCTGAATTCACAACTATGAGCTTGGTATTAGTATTGAGTGGCGATAAAAGTCAGTGTACAATACAGGAAAAGTGATGTATATTGTGTTCATCATGTTAATCAGAACTGAATCATTGGGATAGAAAAATGAGCGACACTAGGGCACATCTGAAAGGCCTACATTTTCACGGTATCTTTGGCTAAATCTTTCTTTAGAATGACATAAATTATCATAACCCTATGTATGTACCTCAACTTGTGGGATACCCTTTACTATGTACTGGTACACCTGACTAGAATGTTTTCATTGGAAAGGCAATACGAAAACAGTTGCGAAACGAAGATGAAAACAAATTTGAGACAGGAAAACAATCAGTGAATTCTTTATTTTTTAAGGTATTTTTTTATTTTAAGTGGCCGTCATGGCAGATGACGTTTTAGTCTTCATGTGGCGACAAAAGAAAAGGAACCTCGATTACGGAAAAGAAAATCTGAGGGTAAAGAGATAACGTAGTCAGGGACAAACGAAAAGTACAGTATCTTAAAATGCGTATCAGCTATTTGGAATAAGCGTCCTTTGTTCCCATCATTTTGGGGTTGCTTTGTACTAAATAGAATGAACATCATTTATTTGCTATTAAATATGTTCGGGACGATTCCCATTACTAAAATATTTGACTATCAAAGGCCCACTGTTATTACTCAGAAGCTGGGGTCGCATTATACATGTATTTCTTTAAACTTTTCACCCCACGCACGGGGGTAATGCCACTAGTGCACGGAGTGTTACAGGGAATTAAAGTGAAAGAGAAGTCTGAAAGAGAGAAGATTGTAAAAAGGTCAGAAGATGAACGTGATTCAAGAAGACAGAAGATGGCGATTGACGTTGCATTTAACTTTTTGAAGATTACTACAATATCAGGGAAGAAAGAAATCAAAAAGGAGTACCTCAGGTAGGAAGTACGAGAAAAACTGATGGAATAGATGACGGTTGTATTTAGCGATTTCAACAATAAAATGGTGACACCTAGATGCCAATCTAGTAGCAGGCCTAAATTCATGTACTCGGGGTAACAAGGAAAAAGCTCGTCAATTGCCTTGAAAATATTTTCAGAAAAGAGAGAGGGAAACCACGCTATGTCATCGAGAAAATGACTGCAGTCGATATGTCAGGTCAGAATTACAGATCCTTCTTTGGATTTTGTCAAGTAACTCGAAACAATACAGCAGGGGCAACAGACCAGATATGGCAACAGTATTCTATGCACGGACGAATAGCAGATTTGTAATTGTGCAAGATAGATTCTGGCGAAAAAAAAATTTTGGCACGGCATAGTGTACTCATCATTCCTAGTAGTAGATACAGCTATTTATTCGATGTCGTTCAGTGGTAAACGTGAGGGAAGATGGCGCAGTTCGTTGCTCTCTTACAGTCTAGCGACAGCCATGCCTATAGCAGTCAGAAACTGTTCTCCTTGGCACTTATAAAAAAAGTCAGGATTTTCACAAAAAAAAAAATCCGAAGGACACATTATCCTTGAAATACACTTATACACTAATATATAAGTTAATCAAAGAAGAGTACCTGTAATGTTAAGACCGACCCTCACTCAACGAATCTGCAAATAGTTTAATTATATTTTTGTGCGTATAAAACTTTTTACAAAGTACACTGATACTGCATCTTGATCCTAACTTGATGAGACCAATATCTACACCCATGGAGTGAATCTTGGTTTTGATTTATAATTCATAAAAAGATACTTGTCATCACCTAAAATAGGATGGTGCATACAACAGCTTATATATTGTGAGTATAACAATCAAGATGACTATATGAGTCCAGATATGAAGGTATATAATAAAGAAATACTTAGCAAAATTTAAGTACTTAGCAATGTGTTGTCGAGTAGTTTTCACAGTGGAGGCTTGTATTTCACGAAGCCGGTCCTAAATAGTATATTATTTGATTGCACGTTTATCGAAATTAAAATAACTGATCCAAGTGCGACTTTTGGATAATAAGTGCGACATTACTGTAATTATTGAACAATATTGTTCATGCCACTTTGACAGAAAATTTACCAGTAAAAAATTCGTTCATCACTATATTTGTACATGAACGCACAACTGTAAAAAATTTAAAATCAAACTCAGCGTTGCTATTGCACGCTCCAAAAACAATAACTCATTTCCAATTTCGGATACAACAATACATATATTTTCGTTGTCCTCTTATTACTAAGAGAAAAAACAAGAACAACATCTATTCCATACCTGAAGATGTCTGTAGGAACAGACGAAAGCTTGTAGTAAAAATAAGAACTAATGCGGCAGAAATTTATGGAAACAAGGATCTTTTCATTCATAACAGGTTCGGGGTTTTTTGTATATTATTTGAATTGTTTGCGACGATGGATTTCTCGCCAATTAAATCATTAACCTTTGCATTTGTTTTTTGTGTGAATAATTCATGAATTTGTAAATTGATTGCACGTTTATCGAAAATATATATATATATATATATATATATATATATATATATATATATATATATATATATATATATCAAGATGACTAAATGTCTTATCTATTTTTAAATTGTTCAAATCACGTTACAGTATAACTGACCATCGAACAAGATGTTTAATATGTAAAAAAAAAAATAAATAACCTAAGTGAGTTTCGTTTTTCCAGGTTTTCAGAGAAGACATTTAGCCATCTTGGTTTCATTTGTCGTAAGAATCAGTGAAAAACCCTTTGGGTTATTCAGCTAGAAAGAGAACAGGTTAAAATCGTTTTGTGTCAGCCCCACTGTCTTAACAACTGAGAAATGGTGCTAAGAAAAAATATCATTCATGCCTTCAGTGAGATGCTGAAACCGTTATTATTAGATGGTATTAAAAAGAAATGTGATATTCAATAGTTTAGTCAGATTTTGGGAAGTGTGTAAGGCTGAGAATTTTTCGGCAATTTTCATATATATATATATATATATATATATATATATATATATATATATAGATATATATATATATATAAATATATATGAACAAATATAGTCTTAAGATGTGCTATATTTATGAGATAAAGTGTTCAATATCAGAGATAGAGCGTGTGTAAATAATAAATATATATATATATATATATATATATATATATATATATATATATATATATATAATATAATGACCTCTCCTCTCTTATTCACATATATATGTATATATCTGCGTATAAATGAGGGAGACAGGATGTGCGTATTTTTATCTGATGTAAGAATTTGACAATTGGGACTCTAGGAAATTGATTGGTTTGCTTTGTTTTACGGCATATCAACACCTCAATGGGTTATTTAATGCCGACAAGATTTTTATTGCACGTAATTTTTTTCTTAAAATTATTTCTTGTTATATTTTTACCAAAAGTGTATTGCTGGTGATATTTCTTTTTTCAAAAATGTTTTGATGGTAGCATTTTTTCCAATAAAATATTGCTGATTATAGTTTTTACACAAATGTATTGTTAATATCAGAAATACATTTATGTAAAAAATTATTATCAGCAATACTTTAGTCGTTGAAGCACAAAAGCCGTCCTACCACGTGAAGTCGACACTCCATCAGGAGAGTAATACAATTGTACGAATATATTTTTCTACATGCAGGACAATATTAGGTTTTATGTATATAGACGATATTGCATGAAACAATGCAATCAGAAAATGAAGTAATTAAAAGAACGATTTCATTATTTCTTTTCATCTATGTGCCTTGTACCTTCAGGGCCTCTGTGATCATGGCTCTCCACAACTTCTTGTCTTTTGTTGTTCTTAGCAACGATTGTCTTTTTAACACTACCGCAACCCTCGTTTTGCTATCCATTAAAGATACGATCTAGGTAGAGGAACCGCTGTCTTAACCTATCCGTTTTGTCATCGAGATATCCGGCGAATGTCAAATTTTCCAAACCATCCTTTCTCATTTTGTGTCCTAGAAATTTCACCCGTCTTTTTCTAATTCTTATTAAAAGTTTCCTTTCCGTATGCGTTTTCCTTAAGACTGCAACGTTGCTTTCACAACGCGCTTATAGTATTGTCAACATCCTTATGTAGAACAGCATTTCTATTGCTTCTAGGTTTTCTCTTATCTTTAAGGAGATTTTCAAGCATCACTGCTATATAAGGGGATTAATATTACATAGGAGTGCAGAACTGATTTCTTTTTGGTTCTAAAGAATTATTTCTGTTTCTTAATACGTTACTTTTTTTTTTTTTTTTTGAGAGTAGTCTTTCGTTATTTCAATAAGCCTTTGTATTTAGGTGTTTTCAATTTCTATCCTCTGTTAAAACACTTCCTAGATATTTAAACTTCTGTAATTGTTTGATTTTCATATCAATTCATAGTTAGACTCATGTTATTTTTCTCTTACTGGCGACCATAGAATATGTCTTATTTGAATTAATAGTTAGTCCTTTCTTCGCGCTTTTCTTTTACTTCTTTTCTAGGAGTGATTTTAATTTTTCCTTTTTTTTTTTGAATGGGTGATTGCATAAACAGGGAATAAATCCTATGAAAGAAATTGCGTGCTTGAGTGGACGCATGACGGAAGAGCCATGGGCATACGGAGTTGTGTGGGAACATGGCCAGAAGAAGCGTGGTCATCAGAAGCTGCGTAGGCGACATACGGGAAGAAGGCATAGCCAGATAAACTGGCGTGGGTATCTAGATGTAATAAAACCGGTCCAACTCTTGGTCTGAGAGAGAGAGAGGGAGGGAGAGAGAGGGAGAGAGGAGAGAGAAGGAGAGAGAGAGAGGGAGAGGGAGAGAGAGAGAGAGGGAGAGAGAGAGATGGAGGGAAAGAGAAATGGGGGAGAGGGAGAGAGAGAGGAGGGAGAGGGAGAGAGAGGCTAACTAGAGTTTCACCTAAGTCTTATCAATTCTTCTGCACGCAATCCTAACCTCTGTGTTTCTCCCAATCGACGCAACTCAAACACTAATTAAATATATATATATATATATTTAAAAATATGATTCTAACACGCTACATAGGAGGTCTCATGTTTCAAAACAAGAGCCTAAAACTTCAATATAATTATTTGAATTAAATTTAATTAAAGTAATTATTTGAATTAAATTGAATTAAAGTAAGCTCTGTTCCATCTTCAAGCGAAATTTTTTTTTGGGAATAACTTATTTCTGAAATTTACGTGTTTCATATATATATATATATATATATATATATATATATATATGAGTGTGTGTGTGTGTGTTCAACATGTCTGCTTTCAACACCGTGCCATTAGTATATATTACATTAAGATTAAGCCTACCTCCTTTTGGATAACCTCGCTAATCCGATTAATAATACTTAATATTTAATAATCCGGAAAAATTAAGTTAGTTTTCACTGTGGTGACGAACGCTTTTTATATGACAATTCTGTACAAATCATAAGGAAATACACAGGAATTCCGAAATACACGAGATCGGTTCATTAAGTCAGTAGCCTAACCATTTTAGTTTGCTATTTCCATTTAAAAATAAATATATCTGAACAAAATAAATGCGTCTTAAGTAATTAGACATGCTTGATACAACGGTATATGGGTGCACCAAAAGTCTCTCAATAACCAGAGATTATCAGCTTATCTTTCCTCTGATGATGCTCTGAAAGCTCAATCGGTTACAACTAGCTGGTCGCATACAATACCTAGAAAAACAAACAAGCTATGCGTCTGCCAAATTTTCATCTATCGCGATGAACGGGTGGTCTCCGAGGGTGGCATCGTGCCTTGGGCGCCTATTGGATCTTATGCTCAACCCAGATCTCGAGTGGAACTCCTAAATGTATTTAATAAACATTTTAACCATTCAACAACACTAACAAAACGATTTTTAACAAAATTAATGTTAAGACCAGTTATAGCTGCATTAATAACATAGACACATCCATCTCCCATCATAACTGTTAAGGGGTCCTCCCCTTTTTCATATAAGTGGACTCGGCCAGAGTGTTACTGGGACTGCTGCCGTTAAATACCCACAGTCAGTCAGATAGAGAGATTTTGAGAGAGATATTGGGAGAGTGAGCAGAGATTGTGATTGAGTTGGAGGTAGAGTAATAGTGTGAGGTAACCGCTTGTAGAAGTCACAGTTACAAGCACGTAGACTCTAAGGAAGTCCTACTTCGAGACTATATCTATATATATTATTATTGCGACTAACCGCGTTCCTGGATTTACTAACAATATACCCATTGTATTATTGTGTAAATACATTTAATTTCTTATCTTTATTTCTTGTGTTTGTCATTCATTGGAGACCGAATTTCATCTCGGAATCCACAACAATAACAAAATTGTGTTAGAAAAAATATATTTCCAACAAAGACAACGTAAATACTTCTCGAAATTAAATACAACTGTTGAAAAAATAGGATTTGTCCTTGAAACGGTCAATTTATAACGGAAAATATTGTATATCAAGCGAGTATACATTCCGGTAACAAAGACAAATTTGATTTTGGCTTCATTGAAAATCATTGGGAGCTTCATTTTTACCATCATTTAATGACCTTAGGTAATAAAAAATACAAATGTGAGGGGATCTGTGTGTAGTTGTGTTTATGTATATGTTTTTATTATGCTTTTGACAGTATGTATGGAGTTTGTGTATATATATTCATTTATATATATGTACGTATATGTATATATGTGTATGTATGTGGATATAAATGTGCACGTATATATGTGTTTCTATTAGTAGACGTGTGTGTATTTATGTGTGGATATGAGATTATTATGTTATTTGCATAATAAGACATATTCTATTTTTGCTATGGATGTTTTTATCACAATATATATATGATTAAAAATAGGAAACAAGAAATATATGATTTTTCCGAATTTGAGGACATATGTGACGTCGTCCCCCGGTCGCAGCGTCGACTGTGTCGTTCGATCACGTTCGCGGCGCCAATTGTGACGTCACGTGCTCCCCAGGCTCCCACGAGGAGAATCGGTCGACGCCCCTGTCAGAAGTGTAAGTGTAAGGAGCCGATACGAAGAAGCGGGGAAGCGGGTATACGCCCCTCAGAGGCACAGTAAGGAAGTGGGAGTGAGAGTGCGTTACCGAAAATGGAAAATCCCTAACCAGAAATAAGAAGGGTGGATACGTATTTAGAATTATCGAAGAAACCCCTGGTGCCGACAGACCCACCCCAGTTTTGACTGCGTCAATAAAAGCGAAACCCCAACCGACAGAAACCAGTTTGAGTTGAGCCGCGAACGGCGAAAGAGTTCAGCCGTGGACGACAAGCAGAGATGAGCGCCCAGTGTTGAAACCGCGTCAAGATAGCTGACCAAGATTCACGCACACTTCTGGACTCTTCTTCAACCAAGAACAAGTAGTTTGAAGAGCGACTTAGAATCAGACCAGAGAAATAAGTTTTTTTCGACTTTCGTCCAAAGACACACACCGAAACACAAATTTCTTAGAGAGCAGACAACTTGAAGCCTTAAAGTTGCCTAGTAAAAAGCGTCGTGCCACAATCCACAGAACGGGTCAGGGAAGTAGACATAGTCAATGTACCGAGCAATTAGACATAAAAAAGTTTGTTACCTTTTTCTTTGATATATTTGGACCTTGTGAGTTTTTATTTTCTTTTCTTTTATACATAATTGTGTGTTATCACCCCCGTTAGACTCAACTTGCATTACGGCCCCAACCCCTGTTTGATCTCGTCTGTCTAAGATCAATTCACAACGTGGGTAGGCAGACTGTGGATCAGTGCAGTTACCCTGGTAACCAGGCGTTGGAAGCGGGTTGGGAACGGCGAGGCTGGTATCAATCTAACAAAAGGGTCAGAACGTCACGTTTGGAGCAGCGAGGAGCGAACAGCTGACGCCGCGGCAAAGAGCCTGGGGAGCACGCGACGTCACAATTGGCGCCGCGACCGGGATCGAACGACACAGTCGACGCTGCAGTGGGGGACAATTTAACAGGCATCTTTTCGTGTTATACCTGATTTTTGCGTCTGTCTGAATGAAGTTCTTCAGTATATTCTTTCAGACCTTATTATGAAAGAAAGTATCAACTTTGGTTAACTGGAAATATTTCGTTTTCCTAAAATCTAGAATAATAATTGCTTTGCTACAAGATTTTGTTCCACTTTGTTGAATAACCCAAAATAATAGGGAAAATGTTAATAAAAATGCCGAACATTGTTGAGGCTACACTCAAGATTCTTGGTTACTTTACCAATCAGCGGGGAAAATGTTTTTTTTCTAAGTGTTTTTCCGTGATATAACTTTGGTTAGACAGCGACAGCATTTCGATTTAATAGGATTAAAGCAGTCATTGCGAAAATGGGATGCTGTTACATTCAATAAAAAGCACAGACATTAGGGTGGGTCAGTGGAAAAGTGTGGAAAATAGACTTGCAATTCTACAGATGTAAAAAAAAAAAAAACTTACATCAGGTCACTTCTGAATATTCGTAAAGAATTGAAAAACTTGATCATCGGCCACCCTTACAAAACTGTCTGGCTGAACAAACGGCAGCATACAGATTTGTTTATAAGAATTATATGGTCCTGATTTGCCAATGCAAATAGAAAGAGACGTATAATTTGATTTCCGTATACATGAAATCTTTCTCTTTCTAAGTACGTACGTGTGGCTGTATTTACATAGCTCGTTTTGTATACTTATATTTATATACTTGAATGGAAACCGATGTACATATATTATCTATTTACATACCTACACACACAGACATAAAAATACACTTATATATATATATATATATAAATCTATACATATATATATATAACGGTTATATATTAAAAATATATAATTTATAAAAATTATATATATATATATATATATAAATATATATATATATATATTTTATATATATATATATATATATATATATATATATATATATATATATGTGTGTGTATATATGTGTATATATGTATATATATATATATGCATATAAATATATATTTATATACAAATAAAACATTGAAAGGTTTTTAAAAAACACAATTTTCACGTTGCGGAAATTGATCATCAGTGTATATTTGTGGACAATTGATGCAAATCGTGGCAATGAAATTTACATACAAATTACAGTGTTTATTTCGTTGCAATTAATCCATATTTTGACAATTGACAAACGCAAACCAGTGTTTATTTCTATAATCATCGCACACACGCAAACGCACACATTTATATATATATATATATATATATATATATGTGTGTGTGTGTGTGTGTGTTTGTGTATATAAATAATAAATTAAGAGCCGTCCCGTGAATATTTTTATATTCATCGTTTCTAAGCGAACGTTAACCTTTTTTTTAGGAAATGAATACAAGAATATTCACGAAGTAAATTATAACTGAAATGGATCTTTGAGAGAAAGAGCGAATTTACAAACAATTAATACGACTGCTAATACTACAAAGTTCTTCTATGAATTGATATCTCTCGGTCATTGGCGTGTTTATTCGAAGAATAAGTACGTAAAAATCCTCCTTCCTCTCTACAAGGCGCTGACAGCTCAGGGGTAAAATCTCTGACTGTTGCCAAATCACTCGGGTTTCGATCTGATTTCTAGGCACACTGATGAGTTGTAATACAGCAAAACAGTCTGTCTGTGCATGGCAATACACACACACACATATATATATATATATATATATATATATATATACTCGTGACCCGACGATTCCGTCTAGCATGAAACAGACTGTCGCCTCTAAGTGTTGACTTCAATTTTCTTATATATATATATATATATATATATATATATATATATATATATATATATAGCAAGTATCCTTAAGAACAAGTGACAATGTGATGTGGTTAAGTTTTTTTATATAATTTTTTCAT